TTTCACCCAGTTCTCACCGGCTTGTGGGTAACTTCCATGTCATCCAGTTTGGACGTCCGGTTGCGTGACAGCATTCTCTGGCACATCTGGAAAACACCAAACCGGAAAGATGGACGAGAAAAACAGCTCAGGATTCTGTCTGTGAAAATAATATGAAGAGGATCGCTCTGTGTGGTTGAACCCCCCCAGGGGTTTCAGGGCAGACTGTTAGGAAACTCGGTGGGTGTGGGTGACCGGCAATGGGTGGGTGGATAAATTAATCCCTTGTCCAGAACAGGACTCCTGATTCCAAAAGTCCGTAGAATATAGCTAGGATTGAAGAGAGCTTTTCGTCTTGCCTTCAATCAGCAAATTATAATTCAAGTTTCTGTAGGATAGCAGAGATGGAAGGGACCTTGGAGGTCTTCTAGTCCAGCCCTCTGCTTGAACAGGACACCCTATACTATTCCAGACCAATGGCTGTCCAGTCTCTTACTAAAAACCTCCAGTGTTGGAGTACCCATAATTTCTGAAGGCAAGCTGTTCCACTGTTCATTGTTCTCGCTGTTAGGAAATTTCTCCTTAGTTTTAGGTTGCTTCTCTCCTTGATTAGTTTCCATCCAATGCTTGGTATCCTGCCTCCAGATGTTTTGGAAAACAGGTTGACCCCCCCCCTCCCCTCTTCTTTGTGGCAGCCCCTCAGATATTGGAACACGGCTATCATGTCATCCTAGTCCTTCTTTTCACTAGACTAGACATCCCCAATTCCTGCAATCGTTCTTCGTATGTTTTAGCTTCCAGCCCCTTAATCATCTTAGTTGCTCTTCTCTGCACTCTTTCCAGAGTCTCTATATCTTTTTATAATATGGTGACCCAAAGTGGATGCAATATTCTAAGTGTGGTCTTACTAAGGCTTTATAAAACGGTACTAACACTTCATGTGATCTTGATTCTGTCCCTGTTAATGCAACTTAGGACTGCATTGGCTTTTTTGGCCTCTGCTGCACACAGTTGGCTCATATTGAAGTGATTGTCCACTAGGACTCCGAGATCCCTCTCACAGTTGCTACTATTGAGCCAGGTCTCACCTAATCTGGTATCTGCACATTTGGTTTTTCTTCCTAAATGTAAACCCTTGCTTTTTATCTTTTTATCTGCATCGAATCTTTTTCATCTGCATTCAGTTTCCATTTCCATTTTTAATCTAACCTGAACTTCATCTTGTTAGATAGATGTTTGTTGCACCGAATTTCAGTGTGTTAGAATTTAGAGGCTGCTGAAAATTGGGTGGCAGATAAATGTAATGATTTGGAATCAAATCAAATGAAATCAGATCAAATCCCCCCATCAAGACTGCTTCGGCTCTGTGGACGTGTCCCTGTGAGTCATCTGGAGCTGAGCTCATTGTGCGAGGAAGCTGATTTTTTTTTTCATAACGTTCTCGGACTCTGGGGACTGCCATTTCCAGAATTCCCAGCCAGCCTGCTGGGAACTGGAGTATGCATGTCATCAGCTGATCCCACGTATTGCAATCTGTGCAAAAGGGTTGCAGGTTGCAAAAGTTTTAAAGCTTTTGCATGGAACACAGGCTACGAAATCAGGACGTGGCAGGCGAGCAGGCTGGTTTTTTGGCTTCGCATCCAGTGGGAGTAATAGTTCGGAACAGCTGAGAATTCAGGTGCCCAAGATTCTTTGCAGTGGGTTTCCTCCAGGGGTGGAGCCGGGATACCCCTCCAGAAAGAGGCAAAAATCTCTGTTTGAACCTGGTCACCATACTGTAACCTCCAATGGCAGGCGAATAGGTGCATTCTGCCACCTGGTGGCAAGTCTGCAAAATTGCGAAGCAACTCTGGGTGGTTGACATTTTTAAGGGAAGAGAATTTGCAGATCTAAAGACATTTTTTGAGTATTTGTGGGCAGGCAGCTGACCTCCATTCCTCACCCCCAATTCCCAGCCAAACCTGAGTGATGTAACTAGAGATACGGCAACCAGGACGTCAGCAAATTTCCCGGCTCTCGAAGGTCAAAGACTTTTCAGTCCTGTGAACTGGCTTTATGATGCAGATTCTTTGAGATTTTTCACGGCTGGCGA